TATCACCAGCATGCTCAAAAAACATGAAGTCCTAAGGAGATAAAAAGAAAGAAAGGAAATAATTCTTAAATGTGGTTCTTAGTTCAGAGATCTCCYGGCTGCATTGCAAGGTGTTCACACTCCTCTCAGATATGTCAAAGGGTGAGAAGAGGGTGGAGGCACATTTTGCAATGCCCTCACCCCTTGGCTCTCTCAGAATGGGGACACTCACAGAGACAGAAGGATGGGGAAGGACCTGCATGGGAAGTTTTAATTTGTCACTGGTCAAAGTTATGCTTTCTTTACTCAGCAATCTGCCCTGACTTTGTTCAACCTGATTCATTCCCTCTCATTTTCCCTCAGACTGGAGGCCATCACAATAACCATCACCTTTAGTTTATGCACGGGGTCCCATTTCTGTGCCTGCAGGCCTGGGCTGTTCACACTCACTGATGCTGCACTTGGTGCCCTTGGCATCATTTAAACAAACCTGGTTCATGCCCAGGGCTGGCAGAGGCTGCTGACACCTTCCCAAACTCAGGGTGCCTCACATGCCCCTTGTCCCTCTGCAGCCCGTTCAGCACAGAAGCAGAGCACATTTTGGAATGGTACCTGATGCAGAATTGCACAGGCAGGTGGAACAGGAGTGTCACACAGGAGTGTCACACACTGGTTCCAAAGAGGAAAGGGAGCTGCACTGCACTATTGACACAGTCTGAGTGAGCTGAGAAGTGCTCTGACAAGTTCCATGTGCTCAGCCTCCACAGCAGTCCCTCCATTTGGAAATTACTGCTCTGAGAGCATTAATCCTGCTCAGCTCAGTGCTTCTTGTGGTTCCAAGGAGAGCAGGGAGGCAGCGGCTGCAGCATCAGCTGCCCATCAGCTCAGCAGGCTCTTGGGCCTTGGCTGGGTCTCTTGGGTATTGCTGATCTCTATTTTTCTGCTCTCACCATCTACATAAACTTGCTTTCCTCTCCTGATGAGTCTGTAAAAAGTCTTCCCTTTTCCCTTTTTCAATATCACCAGAAACAAAACTCAAACACATTCTAGACTGCTCATGTTGTCTAGAATCAGCTCATTGTCTGAAATATTTCTTTGTTGCCTTTTGTGGCCACTTTTACACACAGAAGTTCACAAGCTGTTGACCACTTGAAGGCGCTCAAAATTGACTCCTTTACCATCACAGTTTGAACTTGGAGATGAAAACGTTTACGTTCATGTATTAGTGAATGACRGACTTACGATAAGGAAGCAAGCACCAATCATGACAGCTTTCATCTTCACATCAAGGTCCATTGGAAATGAGATTCCAAAATTATCTGTATCTGTAAACATTTCCTTCACAAACCCAGTCCACTGCTTAGAAATCCTCCCAACAGCACAAGACTCGTCCAAAGACTTGACCTATAGTTCAACACAAAATTTATAAAAGAAACAAAAAAACACAAACAAACAAACAAACAAAAACAAAAAAAAACAAAAACAAAAAAAACCCCAACCAAATCTGTCATTCATAATATTCCCAAATCCATTTTGGAATAGATCCATTTAAAAGCTTCTGACTATTTTTAAATGTAATACAGTTACTGAATGCAAGTGTTTGTACCAAAAGGCAGTCAGACTATCAGAAAGTCGGTCTCAAGCGTTAGAGCCATGAACTCCATTCTGAATCTGACTGCAAAGTTCAATTCCTTGATGGTGCTGGGAGACAGCAACCACAGGCACACCCTGTGCTGAACTGGTGTCTTTTAGCCAAGAGAGTGAATTACTTTCTCCTGCTATGTATCAGGAACTGCTCAAGT